TCTTAAAACCCACTTAGCTTTCAGCTTTCACAAAGATTCTGACACCAGTGTTTTCTTGTTTGGGATTTATTCTTAGGTAAAAACAGAATCTAAGCACACTTAAGAGCACAAAGGTGCACATAATTCTGTGGTTTATAAATGTCATGAATCTGACGTAGACTTTTTCATAGGATATTTCTGAAGAACACAGTTAAGAAAAAATTTAGGAAGATGTTGGTGAATGAGGCCCATTATCTTTTCCAAAGAACACTTAACGAACCATTGTAAGTATGTAGGACACTTTTGTCTCTCTCGCCTTCCATACTCGAACACTGGACACTGTCTGGATACTTTTACCAGTAATGTTTGGATATTGCATCATTCACAAATGTAGGCCTTACACCATATTTTCCTGGGATGCAGATGTTGACATATGTTATGAAAATCCTGCTAAACAGCAAGTGACTTTCTCAGAATAGCAAGCAGCACCTTCATTTTTGAATCATGTACCAAAATTTACTCCCATGATTTTTTTTTTTTTTTGTAATCTGTAAAAATACAAAGGTTCTGCTTTTCTGGCCATGCTGCATCAGTTTTGCACAGTCTGCATGGTAGATTTTTTCCACTTATATCTAGAATCATGAATAAAATACAGCCCCATTATGTTTTCACTTGCAAAAGTGAAAAAAAAAAACACTATTAAAAAAATCATCATTTCAGCAAATATTTTTCAGCTGCAATCTAGATGTCCTTAGATGTTCCCCGGTAATGTATCGGCTTGTGTTTGCATATGAACCCTCCCAGTAATTTCCTGTGGTTGTATTAGGTGTTGTGCAGGTAAATTGCTGTGTTAATTTTACTGGGATTTTGACTCTGGCTTGAGGTCACATGTAACCCCTTTCCATTTAATTACTGTTAAAATCCTGGGTTAAAGTGCAAAGGGGCTTGTGTGTGAAGGGTGACTCTATGTTGAGCTGCTAGTGAGTAAGAAGGGGATGAAAGGGGACGACTGGGAACCTCCTGCTGTGAAAACAATTCACACCTCTCCGCTAAGGTGGCTATGAAGAGATAAAATGGCCAGCGCAACTGCAGTGTTGTTGACATCAAAACACTGCCAGAATGAAATAGAAAATAGCACTTAAACACAAAAAAACATGTTTTTAAACATTGACTTGCTTATTCACCTTCAAAGATGAAAATCCAATTCACTTTCGGTTTTGCAAGTCATACACAATTTAATCAAAATATATTCCATCGACATTATTGAAGAAAAATCATGCATCGTTCAACTGTGGGAGCTCCAAAACAGAGGAAATTGCAGCAACTGTGTGAAAGATTTAAAGGGAAGCTATAGGTGAGGAATGATCAGTGAAAAGGGCCTGGAGGTAATCTCTTCTTTGGAAGACCCTTTCCAAGGTTGTGGTGTGTGGGTATGTTGCAAGAGTTGTGCAAGAAAACACCTCTTGCTGTAAACCTTGAGTTCAGCATCAACATCCCTCAACATGCTTTTAGATTCAAACAGTACTGTGTGACACAGTGGCGTAGCCGAATTACATTTTAAGGGAGCTGATTACAGGTTGGTGGGGGCAGCCCCAAAACATTGCTATGGTGGGGTTGACAACCACAAACTAGCTAACTTCACTGTAAGTAAGCCAGTAGAAAATTACCCACCTCAATGAAATAATCAAAGAGAAACATTTTTGAATATTGAAAACAAAACATGATCCCTTGCCTAATATTTAAGTGGCTAACATTAGTTTCTATAGCAGCATGGCACGGACGAAGCGGAATTTGGCTTCTTCTTCGACAGCTTCTTATTTTAATTGTCCGTTCCACCTTAAATGTGCAGAGGCAGAATGTAAATGCTGCACCTTTTAAGATGAAAGAGGTTCTCTAATTAGAAGCCAACTTCTGCCTCATATACCACAGCAAGTAAAGGCTAATTAACCAGGTGCAAATGTTGTTTAGAGCAAATGGTTGAAGACTGTGAATTTTTCAAAGCACTGAACTTTGTTTTCTCTACCACAGTCAACTATTTATACTCGCTAGTCAAGTAATTAGCCTACAGGAACTAGCACAGCTCAGCCTGTTCTGACTATCACGGGCAACAGTGGAGGAAGCTAATGCTGTGTTTACATGTTAAAAAAGCAACTTTATATGACCTTTAACTATCTTTTTGCTAGACGGATGGTGGTTTGCAGGCATATGAACTTCACCATGGCGGCAAAAATAGGTTTTATCAGTGGAAAAAAAGCACAAGGATGCAAAACCTCAGAACGTTTGCCCATGACGGCCTTACATTTTGTAATAGTTTTCATTAGCATTGGAGAATTGTTTGGAGAAATTGGAGAAATCTGAGGAGGTCTGGCTGCTAAATGAGATGGCTTGGGTCTCTCCAGACCCCCTCCCCCCGTGGTGTGACATTCTTACAGTTATGGCTGTTATACCATGACCAACAAAGCAGTCTGGGTTCTATAACATTTTACTCAATTAACATCTAATACAGCTGCCTTATGACTGATCCTAAAGGAGTATTTCAGACAGAATTCTAACATGGCTAGCAATGACAGCTAATCATTATCAATTAGCATGCTGTCACTTGCTTAATGCGAATTAGTTGCAGCTAGCGCTGTTTGCTTGCTTTGCACTTTTTGGTCAAACTATTCTGTTCAAATGTGCAAGCGCAACAGAGTTTTCAGGAAAAAGCCCTTCTAGACAAATGACACCGGTTTAAAGGCTTTGCTAATAGCATTTTTTTTCCCCATTGGAAATGACTCCGCTGATCGATTTAGCATGCTAACTGCAAACTCCCCCATAAATTCAAGCTGAGATGCATTCAGGTAATGAGCTATGCATTATCATCATCTATCTCTCCTTGAGTTACGGTGCAAACTCCTGGTGCATACCGCTTAAATGGGGGATAATACGTTTACACTTTGCCACTCAATTGGTTAGCATATGGCTCCCTGACACTGTCTATACGTCTTGAGGGAGGTAGACTCGAGGTATTTACATGCTTCGATAATATCGGCAGGGAGGTGCCGGATGGAATTGCTTTGACAGAATTGGTGCCGCAGACTGTGATCCATGACTTCGCTTGAGGATGCTAAATGGAGGGCGAGCGAGGGAGATATGAGTTAGAGAGGGAAGTAGCACCTAAAGTGCCTGCCATTGCTAGCTAGCGTTATGAACAAGCTTATTTACCAAATGTACTCTCCTTCTCTCTCTCTCTCTCTCTCTCTCTCTCCCCATCCTCTGATTCCCCCGCTTTCCGTCAAACCTGCTCCATACCGCCTTCTCATATCTCTCCTCAAAACTAAATAGACCTTTTTTTTCCACGCTATAGCGAATTTATTTCTCCTTTTGTGTTTCGAGAGGCATTTTCTTGATGTTGAAAAGCAGCTTTATGCTTTCGCGGCCATCACCAAGCCGCCACTGCTAATAAGTTGGCAGATGGAGCTTTCAAGTTGTTTATTTGCAGAGTGAATTACCACTGTAGTGGGTCAAAGGCGTCCGCCGACTGCTGCTGCATTTGCATTAACTGGCACAGGCGTGAGTGTGTGTTTGTGTGTGTGTGTGTGTGTGTGTACTGGTTTAGTGTGAGCGCTGCAGAGAGATAAAGGTTAGCTTGAATGCTGTTTTGAGGCTTGAACTGCTATCAGATCCATTCAGATGTGGTCTATCTCCCTGTCTCCCTCTAACACCTCATGTGGTAACTTGTAATTGCAAATATGTTGGAGAGACGTTATAGGCCATTAGGTCATTCCAGAGCGCTATAACCAAATTAGCCAAATGCCAGAAAGGCATTAAATTGACCTCTCCATGCTCCACCCACAAAAGTGGTCTTTGGTAGCTACTGTTGTGAGTGCTAAGTATTTGTCAGAATTCTTATATTTTGGATGCACGATGTAAGACATTTTTGTTAAAATTGAAATAGCATTAATCAGAAGAGACAAAACACATTAAATTGTGTAATTTAAAAGTCAGAGGTGTTGGGCCAGATTTTTTGGGATTTTTTTAGACCACGTCATAAGCTTTTACGTACTAACGTCACATGCCCAGCTTGATGTTCAGGTCTCAAATGGAAAATGAACATTATGCTCCCTTGTGAGTAAAACAGCACAGACCAACATGAAATCCTTGCTGGTTTATGCACGTCTAGTGCTGGTTTAGCTAGTCACCCAACATGGTCACGCTGGTTGACCAACATACCAACATCCAAAACGCAACATATGCTGGTTCCTGGTCATCACCCATGCTGGTCTATACTGGTTTTTCTAGCAGGGCTGATAAAGATATGACGACAGTAGCAGATTATTCCCTTACATCCTCAAAAGATACATCCTTCACCAAATTTTGACTGAGTTGTCTTTGAATAGTCTTTCAACATGCTCACAATCAGCAGATTCATTCGCTTGGAGAACGGGTCAGAAACACAACCAACGTTACATAGTTTTCTTCTGCATGGTGCATACAATTACATTTCCACCAGAGAGGTGCAGATGGCTAGTTTGCTATAAATACAGCATGGCAGGAAAGAACTGTGTTCACATTGGTGGAGATAGCACTTGGACGGAAACTGAACAGACGTCAACACTGATGACCAAACACACGAAAAGAAGACATGCTTGAAAAAGCCGTTCCCTACACTTCCTAGTGTACTTCTTCTGTTTATATAGGATGACTCATGAAATCTATGGTTGCCCCCTAATGGCCTAGAAGAAATAATACCTGTCTGTTACCAAGCTGGTTGTATATGGGGGACTTGTCTGGGAGGCATGATGGTAAATCTGTTGTCATTTCCAACCTAGTTTTACAGCAGTCTGTCATTTCAAACTGGAAACTCTAAGTCCTGTAGCGAATGTAAACTGAAGATGCCACAGAGGAAAGCTTTTGTGATTGGAGCATAGATAAGTCACTTATTACTACATGTCCAAGTGTGATTTGCAAGTTCATGGATTAATCAGTTGTGATCAGTAGGCACATGTTTTTGCTAACATGATGTTGTTTTTCACGTGCAGACGAGAGGTTTACCACATGCAGAGGGAACTGCTTAAAGAGCGGACAAGATGCCGAGCTTTGGAGGAGGAGCTAGAGAATCCCATGAATGTTCATCGCTGGAGAAGACTAGAGGTGTGTAAATGCACTACTTTGTGGAATTATTTTTGCGTTTTTGCAAAAAAATATGTATCTATAACGTGATTCTAAAGATGGCTTTACATAGTAAAACTTTTATGCAACTAGTTGCATGAGGCAGGTTGTGTGAAACAATTTCTTTCACAGTTACACAAAGCAGTTGAAAATAATTAAAATCCTGTGACTTATTCAATTATTCTCCAATTTAGTATCTTTTTATATATTTTTGACAAGAATAGAGAAAACTGTCAAGTGTCATCTTAATGCTAGCTAACTAGCTAATTACAGACCAAGTATTCCATTATTCTACTGGTTAGCAAGATTAGTTCCTACTCTTTTCCATATATTGTGTTGTTCAGTTAATAAAAAAAATAATAACTTTTGGTGTCTTTTCAAGAATCTTAACTTGTGACACTGTGGGAAATGCTAATAAAAACATAAAGCAATGTTTTACCTTATCAGCATTGTTTTTGATGCCTGTAACACATTCCAAAAAGTTGGGACAGTGGGCCATTTAAGGCTAGGATCATTGTGAAAACATCTTTAACAGGTCATGCTGTCATGCTTGGGTATAAACGGAGCATCCAGGAAAGGCTTAGGAAGGGAGGATGAGTCATGGTTTGCCACTTTTTCAAGAAATCCATCCCCAGAAATGTTCCTCAATGAGCACTTTTAAGGATTTTAGGTGTTTCACCATCAACAGTGCACACTGAAATCAAAAGATTAATAAAATCCAGAAAAATCTCTGTACATATAGGGCAAAGCCAAAATACCAAACTGAATGTCTGTTACCTTCAATCACTTAGATGGCACTGCACTAAAAACAGGCATGCTTCTTTAATGGATATCAACATATGGGCTCGGTCAAACACTGTTCATCCCTGAATCCACAAATGCAAATTAAGACTGTATTATGCACAACATATGCCTTATCTCCACAATGTCCAGAAATGCTGCCAACTTCTCTGGGCTCAAACTCCTCTAAAATTGATTGATGTACAGTAGAAATGTGTATTGCGGTCTGAGTCTGCTTTTCAAATTGTTTATAGAAATAATAGATGTCATGTTATCTGTGCTAAAGAAGTAAACACCATCCAGATTCTAAACAGTATAAAGTTCAAAAGCCAGAGGCTGTCAATGTACTGGGTTATATTATTGCCCATAGCATGGGTAAGTTGCACATCTGTAAAGGCACCATTATCACTGAAAGATATATTTTGGAGCAACATGTGCAGCATTCAAAATTTCAGGGCCCTGTTTACTTCAACATGACAGCACCAAGCCATATTCTGCATGTATTACATCAGCATGGATGTGTAATCAGAGAGTGCAGGTGCAAGACTGGCCTACCTGCAGTCCAGACCTGTCTCACATTAAAAACATGTGGTGCATTGTGAAGCTTAAAATATAACAGCAAAGGTCTGTACAGTTGCACAGCTGAAGACTTGTATTGTGGTAGAATGGCAAGAAATTCCACTTTCAAAACTGTATCAATTGGTGTCTTTAGTCACGAAACGATTAAGTACCACTCTGGTAAATATACTCCTGACTAAAAATGTGTTTGAGGCATCTAATTTGGACTGAGCTTATTTTTACAAAAATGTGTTTTTATTACAAAAAACGTTCTGTTTGTAACAGCATTTCACATACTGTCCCACCTTTTGGGAAATGAGGTTTGTATGATGCATAAATACATACAAATGAGCTACTATTATACGTACAGTAACACAAATTGATGAATGATTCCAAACTTATGAATGGTAGCAGAAGGGTCCTTTCATGTGTGCGGCCTAAGCTTTTGAGCACATGTTCTCTGTTCCCTCATGATAGTAAAACACATCAGATGTGACTGCCTGTAAAGTTAATTGAGGTTATGGAAAATGGTCTTAGAGTCTGAAGGTTTAGTTGCAGAGTTTCACTCTCTCTTTCATTCTCTCTGTCTTTCTCTCTCTTTCATTCTGTCTCGTTCACTCTCTTTCACTGCTTCTTTCTCATTCTCTGTAATTCTCTCTCTTACTCTCTCTCTTTCTAAATGGTTTTCCTGCAGGCGAGTGACCCCAGCACCTTCGAGTTGATCCAGAAGATTCACTCTCTTCAGCGGCGGCTGATAACTAAAAGCGAGGAGGTGGTGGAGAAGGAGCTTCTGCTGCAGGTAAACACTCTGCTCTCATTTGGTGTTCCCACCAATCCGTCACGTCCTATTGGTTGCCAGGGGCCTCTGTGTCCCCTGGTGATGGCTCATAAAGCACCAATGGGGTCAGGTCATCAGGGGAATTGATCGCAAAAAGGCCTTGAGAAGTGATTCTCTCTCACATAGCTTTAAAAAGAGGATGAACTACAGCTTTATTTAATGTACTTCCATGTACCGGGACTGTTGTGTGTGTTATTTTAACACATAATGCATGGTGGGTTTCTCTTGGGGAAATATAGAAATCTGTGTGTGAGAGTGAGAGAGAGAGAGAGAGAGAAAGAAAGAGAGTCAGCACATTGGAATCAATGTTTTCAATAATATAAAACCAGTTTGCTTACATGTAAAGGTATGAAGTGACTGCAATATGCTAGTCCTGGGCAACTTCACAGGCTTCAAAGAAGACAATTTAGTGTCAGGAATGATGAACTGAGCTATAAATGGTTCTAAAATGACTGATAAAGCTGTATAACATCAATAATGAAGTAAGGCTGCCACTAATAATTATATTAGTATTTACATTTTCCAAATGCACATCAAGCTACAGCCTATTACTTACAGCAGTACACTCATCGGTATATCTGTTCCTGTACTTCTGTCATATAGTGATACAGCAAACCTAAAACCTAAAACCTCAAGCATCATAGACTAAAGCAGATTGTCACAGCAGGCATGAAAAAATCTTTACGGACCATTTATGTCTTACCTTTGATTACTTTATGCACAGAAGTAGACATTTCCTTTGACATTCTCACATTTGCCTATTTCAGCTTGTGTAGTGAATTGTAAGCATTGTAAGTACTAAACTTGCAGAACAACAACTTTTTTAGCCATGTTATGTAAACTGGGTTTTGCTTTGGAATGAGTAGAAAGCAAAATGATCTGTTCTTCACAATCTCTCAAACACATCTTTTTGGAGCTTTAAATTCAAAATACACATTACAGTGACGCTAGTTATACAAATGGACAGAGAGCCATTTTTGGATAGGCTTGTGAAAATGTGAGTAGGCTAACTTGGCAGATACAATTTTCAAACATACTGTGTCCTGCAATGTCATAGCATCAGGCTATTCTTAGTATTCGTTTACGTCATTAAGAAGACCACGTCGCCATGTTGGTAGGCAAGCTGTAACTTTGACTCTCTCTGATAGAGCTCATCTCATCATCGTTACTGCAGCTACAACCCTGCAGGTGGCTAAAGACCAAAAGTAAAATAGGTCAGAATGACTGCAAAAATCATAAAAAGATACGTGGACACTTTAGATGCAGTCTTCAGACACCAAAGGAGGAGAGGATTGGCTGGATTGGTGGACTAGATACGTACAGCCTGCATTTCTCCAGAGTTCAGAAAATTCCAATCCATGAGATTTTACAAAAACTGATAAAAGTGGCTACCAAAGCTCTTAAATAATAAACACATACACATATATAAAGCTGAAGCACTTTAAATGGTGCTGCAGTTACACTGAGGTGCCTTAAATGTAGAATGAATTACAAAAGTTGATGAATACGAAGCCAACATCAAGGTTACTTTAATAAATGCCTTCATTTACTGAAATAAATGCATTAACTTATCTAAAAAAATGCATCAACAAATACCTTAAACTTTCACTTGGAAATGTTTAATGAACAGCTAATGGGCAGCACAGCAAAGCAGCTCTTAAACACGTCTTAGCTGCTGATCTAAAGCTGCGTCCCAAACCACACACTTCTGTACTTTACCTACTACACTAATGAGTGCACTTCTAATTGTATATGTGCTATTTTTCCACATTTTTATTGTGCTAGTATGGGACGGCACTCCCATATGACACTCAAATATATCAGTAAATAAGCTTAAAAAAGAAAATAAAAAAAGTGTTCAAAAAAACCCCCCCAAGAAAACGTTTTTGTGCTTTGTTACCTCAGTACAAACTATCCTAGCGCTGCTAAACCACCTTGATGTTGCCTATCAAAATGGTGGCAGCGCGATTGTGACATCATCGGAATACAATAAATAGCCCATTTTTGACAATAGTGCAGTCATCAGCCTACCTATTGCAATGCTTCCGCTCTATTGATACAAAAACAGCAGCATGCCTGTAAAGACATTAATCAGAATGCTGGACTCACATAAACACAACCAACACTACAGCACTCTTCACTAGTCCAATTACAACAGGCACAACTTTTACTCAATTACAACTATAATGGAGTTAAAACTGGACAATGGAATTGTACAAAGACTTGGAAAAACAACACTACAGACTCAAAAACATAAACTGTTAAGTATCCTAGGATAAAGCTTTCTGCATGAAAAATGTACAGACCATTTATTGCTCACTTTTGATGACTTGTTACATTGAAGTAAGCGTTGACATTTTGACATTTAGCTTTTGTAGTAAAAGAGCACTGTACCAAATTCACAGACCACTGACATTTTTTTGAGTTTGGAAATGGGTAGAAAATGACATACTCTGCAGTTGTACCTTGGAGCTGATAAATAATTGAAGGCTTGAGGCAATGGTGTGTAGCAATAGTTGCTAAGCAGTGATTAGAGGTCTTTGAAAATAAGGCAGAGCTTGGGATTAGTTGATTGGACTGTATCTCACACATTCAGAAAAAATGTGGCGAGCATAATGATTTTGATTGGCCACAATACAATGTCAGCAAAAAAACAAATCAAATTATCTTAAAAACAATGCATCTGTGATCAGTCTGGGTAAGTCTACCTCTGAATGACAGCGCTAGAATGAAGTTCTAGTAAAATTAACATCTGTGTAATTCAAAAGTTCAAGATCAATTGGAGGAAGAAATGTTGTAAATAAAGTTCTGTGCTGAAGGATCTAATTTGAGCAATACATATAATTTCAAAAAGAGCAACTTTCCATTCTGCCAAATTCTTTGTGTGGCCAGCATTGAGAAATGTGAGCCGTTTGCTGTGATTACATCCCGCGACTAGAAATGCGAGTGCAATTCTTGGCCAGATAAAAGCTGAAGTTCTTGGGGGCAATGTGAAAGCTATCGTTTGGCATGATGGAAGAAATACCAACACTGCCAATTCACTGTGCAATTGCCAAACGCAATTGATCGCAAATAGGCTGAGATGGTGGGGGGTGCTTTCAGAAATAATCATCAAGCCAAGGTTGCAGTGTCACTGCCTGTCAGTCATTTATTTGATATGATGACAAATTGCTGAATAAAAAGCTGTGGAAGTAATACTGGTTAATTAATGAGTACGTACAGTAGTTTGGGGACCCCTACTTATTTATACTTTATTTTTATAATAACATAATATACAAGTTAAAGATCAGGTTTATAGAATAACATGATAGCAGCTGGGCAAAGATCTTTTCCTGATGTATGACGTGAAGAATGTCTTAAAACTAAAGATGAAATGTTTTTCTGAATCAGTTCCATGCAAGAACCACTCTTAGTTCCCCAAGAATCTTTTAAAGGATGATTGTTTAAAGTAGCGTTTTTAATGAGATTTCTAAAGATTTAAGTTTAAAGAACCTCCACATAAAGTTAATGTTCTATACCAATTAACATTTTTCCTAGAACTGTACATTCAAGGCAAGAACACATAAAACAAAGTTTTCAACATTTATTTGTGGAACTCTGTATTCTCCATTTGCTTTTCCAAAATGGAAAGTAGCCCACTCAGCCCATGTGTATATGTATATATATATATAGATATATATATATAATTATCCATTCATAGTCAAGAGGTACATGCAGGGTGTTGTAAGGCAAAACAGTACCCAAAGAAAACAGATTTTTCTTCAGTTTTATCATTATTTTACCATTATCAATATTGCATATTAAAATTCAGATGAGTCATCAAGGTTGAATGGTGATTTCGCATAGCAAATAAAATGGCTATGCTGTGACCCCTGGTTCTTATCACCACCACTGTAAAGAAATCTGACCTAGGTTTTTCTACAGTGAACCACTCTGAATGACTTGGTTTACATCTCAATCCTTAAATTATGCAAAAAGTTTGAAAAACAGGCAGGATACCCTTTAAAGACAGCCAAGAAAATAGTTTAAAATTATTTATCTCAGCAGTAAATGCCAGAAAAACACAGACACAAACACACACACATATAGCAAAAGTTGTTGATGTCTTTAAATAACAGTCAGAACACAGGTTTTATTCCTGACTTCTCAGTGCAGTGCAGTCTTTGCATGGGTTTCTTAAACTCCATCAGCAGCACAGCTGATTTCATTTAATGAAGTATTGCTTAGCTAAAGCAGGTACCTGATGGCAACTGTAAATACTGCGTTTCCTTAAGAAGAGCTTTGGAAATGTTCATCCATCCATCATCTAAACTGCTTATCCTTCTGGGTCGCGGTGGGGTGCTGGAGCCTATCCCAGGTGTCATTGGGCGGAAGGCAGGGTACACCCTGGACAGGCCGCCAGTCCATCGCAGTGGAAATGTTCATTTGTGTTAAAAACATTCTGGAAAGCTATATCTTTCTTGTCACATGGTATTGAGTTTGTTTGGTATTCTAGATTGAAAGAACAAATCAGATGTGCTGCATTGTGTAATGGCAGTGTCACTGATGTTACAGAGGTTCCAGATGTATTCAGAGTTCACATGCCTGAACTATAGTTGTTGATATTGGCTACTGCTTAAACACTGGGAACCGTGCGGAGTGGGACTGAATTCAGAGTGAAAGTATTATGTAAGATAAACTTTGCAAAGCCATTATAACAGTCCACAACAGAGTAGACTACAAAGTGCCAATGTTCTCCAGCATTGTCCAGCCACAGCAGCAAAAAAAACCCACAAAGGGTAACAAAAGTGGAAAAAGGAAGAATACAAAAGAAACTAGTTTTTTCATATGGTTTCACTTCATAGCTCAAAGGTTTTTTATCAGAAAGGCATCGCAGCAGCTGAGTTCTACGTTTTCACCATCTCATTTACTCTCACTGTTACAAACGGAATTTGATTGCGATTTTCACAGTGCATGACTGC